TATTCAAGGCTATATTGTACTGTACCTCATTATGTGATGGTTTATATTCAAAGTCTGAATAACTGAACTTTCCTTTCCCTTCTAAATAGCCATTGGGGCAGCTGGTGTAGTATATAGAACTAGCTGAGAGAAAATCAAATATTTTGAGTCTAAAGACTGGAGAGTTGCCAATTTATAGCACTAAGGAAGCACTAAGCTGGAGGGTGATGTTTGATTTTTGTTTTGTTTTGTTTTTCTTATTTTGCAGCTACTGACTTGACAGTGGGGAAAATCTATGCAGCCATGATGATCATGGAATATTACCGCCAGAGTAAGGCTAAGAAGCTGCAGGCCATGAGGGAGGAGCAGGTATGTGAAAACTGTAAATGTAAAAAAATATGCCATCATTCCCAAATCTGAAAATGTTGGTGAATGATTTGTTTATGCTTTCTATTTACAGCAAATCATGTGTACTTTAAAATAATCTTAAGATTTTTTTGGAAAAGGTGATGTTTTTGTTCAGTGATTACTCCTAATTAATTCTTGTTACACATGTTAGGTTACAATTCAACCCATTAAATGCAATTAATTGAGCATTTCTTGGACAGGTTCACAATGGACCAAATTACATTTCACAAAGTGCTACAGCCTGTCTAGAAAATTCCGTCACTTGTGCATGCATGTGTGTGCAACTCCATATAATTGTATATTCACCTTTAACTAAATGTTTTTAGAGAGCCAAGAAACTCCAACAACAGAGAAGCACAAACAAAAAATTAAAAGTTCTTCTTTCTTGCTCCAGTATAATAATTGCGATTTCTTTTATGCAATCTGTGAGCAAGATCTGCTTAGAACTATTATTTTCATATTCTCAAGTTTACAAAGTTGGAAGTCAAACAGTAAATCATTTGTTCTAACAGTTTTTCAAGTGATCGGAAATTTACTAAAGGAAAAAAGGTAATCGGATGATGTCTACATTAGAAAATATCTCCAAGGTTTTTTTTAATATTTGTATCATTCTGTCCCGTTTAGAATCGGACACCACTTATGTTCCAGCGTATGGAACCACCTTCTCCATCCCAAGAAGGTGGCCAAGGACAAAATGCTCTTCCTTCCTCTCAACTGGACCAAGGAGGTGGAATGTGAGTCCTAGTTTATATAGGACAGTTCCATCTATACAGAAACAACTTTTTCAAATGAGACATGTATTGAACGATTGCTATTACTAGTACATTAGAAATTCAGTGAATGGTTAATTCTGTCACTGGAAACAGGATCATCATCAATAAATCTATACCTTACTTTGAGGATGAAAGACTCCAACAATGACATCTACAAAAAGGACTTGACAGATGTCAATATGAAATTCTGTAGAGACATTGCTAATCACTGTAGGCCAAAGACTGGAAGCTCTTTTGTAATTGAGAGCTACATTTTCATTTTGTAATATCACTTAGCCGTCAAAAGCTGCATAGGGCATGGCAACTGACAAAATGTTATCACCACAATCACATTACTATTAATATCAAGAAGCTCAGAGATGCACTTTTGTAGTCAATAAAGCTAATCAGTTTCCATTCCAAGTCCGTCTTGCTATGTCCCAGTCTTCCAGCCATTTTTGTGAAGATGATATGGTATGGTACAATGCACTGAAGAACACAATGATCACTCTTCATCTTCTAGACTAGCAGTTTATATAGAGCCAATTATATTGTTGGAATATCAATACAGATCTGGAAAAGTAAGGGCAACTTAAAGGTGTTTGTATTTTATTTACACATGAGTTATAAATTGCTTGGGGAATGGACAGATAAACGGGTTGTGATTGTGCACATAGATTCATAATGGTATGGTTGGAATATGATTTTTTCTATCTATTTCCAGGAATATACAGGAAGGAGTAATGAAGGAAAGTGAGTCATGGGTCACGCAAAGGGCACAGGAGATGTTCCAGAAAACAGGAACCTGGAGCCCAGAGCGGGGGCGCTTAGAGGAAATACCCAATAGCCGGACCAATTCCCAGGTGGTTTGTATGCCAGCAAGGTGTTTGAACTGGCAGTTATCTGTCTCTTCTTTTTCTTATCCCTGCCTGTGTCACACATCTGTAAAGCCAGCTTTATAGCAGAATTTTTCAGAAAAGTTTTGTTTACAGTGAGAAATTCTATATTCCATCAGATCATAGGACCCAAAGATAGAAATTGATTAAGCCAATATGGATTAAATATTTATTTGAGTAACACATAACAACATTTTATTGTATCACCATTCTAACTATTTTATGAAACTTTGATAGTGCAATACGATAAGTATACATCAAGTTGCAAACTGTATTTGTGATGAAAGCAGACTGTCCTTTTTTCCCTTGCACTCATCTAATATTATGTGAATTCGTCTCATTTGTATTTTTGATAGAGCTTCAAACCAAAACAAACCTTCACAAGTATAATATTCAAACTGTGCATTTCACAAGTTTTATTCTGAGCAATTACATGTGCATGTATATGTAAATTTCACTGATGTTCAGTATCTCCTGCTTGGGATAATAAGGCAGTCCTATCCTCCAGTCTTAATCCATTAACAATTTCCAGACATTTGTATTAATGTGTCTTGTTCAGCATATGGTAAAAGCTCTACAATAATGGGTAGTGATTAATTGGCTCAAAAGGAAAGTATTAGCAGCTAAAGGTACATTTGAAAATAGTGGTGGCTGTTAACATCTATTCACCTCTTATGCAAAAGTCATCTCACAGCCAACATTCTGCATTAATGTATCAGCCCGCATACAGGTATTCCTCAGCTTAGCCTTATTATAGTCTTAAGTCATGTTGGTTGTCAGTCACTACATGACCACACCTGATTTTAAGCCCTTTTTTTGCAGTTGTTGTAAAGCAAACACCATGGTCATAAAGTGAACACTATGTTGCTATATAAATACCTTGCCTGCACTGGGCTCTGGCAAAAAAGTCATAAATTGCAATCATGTGATTGCAGCATGCTTCAAACTGCCATGTAGGCCAAATACCCCAAATGCAATCATATGACTTCAGTCAGCACTTCGAATTCATAAGTAGCCCTTGGGAAATCTGTCATAACTTCAAACAGTCACTAACTGACCTGTAGTAGATCAAGGACTAGCTGTATATATTACTGATTACTTATGTCTGGGAGAGGATTGAATTAGTAATACTAAGAGATTATTGACACATCCTCAAAATAGCTACACAATTATTCTAGTGTACACTTTCTGTGAAGAAACTTATGGATTTAGGAGGATGCTTCTAAATTAGGCTTTTATTCTACAATTGCTCTACTTGTCAGACATATCCTGGCTAACATGAAAAGCACTGCAGGAATGTATTACCTTGGATATGTAGGAACAGGTTGGGGACAGATATATTTAACCACTTTCAGTGCTGGGAAGTTAATTAAAAGCGTATTATAATTAAAACCAAGAACTTTCAAGGACTGAAATAATAGGAAGTAATAACTCTCAAATTGAGCCCACAATGTCAACTAATCAATATAAATTCTATCCTAATTAGATGATTGAAATTAATAGATAAACCCAACTGTGTTGTTTAAAATTAGGCAAATTAAAATAATAATCCTCATAACAAAGATAGAATATTAACAAGGAGAACTTGAGTATTTATTTCCATGAAAAAAACCATTATCAATTTATTTTAAATATTTCAATGGAACTAACACAGGCATTGATCTGTAAGTAGCAATCTTAATTCAAAATTTATGTGTTGCCTTGTAGTGAAATGGGTGGCAAATACATTTAATTAATAAATAAAGAAATATTGATTCTTTTTCACAAATCCAACAGCATTTTCCTCCATTTCTTTATATTGTAATTTACCTCCTTAATAAATTTTGAACAGTTCTTATCTATTAAACTGGATATTTTCCTAGGGAAAGCAGTAGCTATTAGACAATTATATACAAACTCAATTCTCTCTACAATTTTTTGGACTTTTCTACTCACTGGCATCATATTTAATTTACTACATTTTTTTGTACTCCTAACTTCTACAAATTTACATAAAGATAGTAAACATTGAAAAAAAACCCCAAAATATAATCTCCATAAAATAACATATTTTACTGATATTCAGCTAAGCTAATTTCTTTAATTTTATCAGACTGTCTTGCTGGGCATACCAAAGTTTATAACACAAAATTAAAAATTAATGGAGTTGAGGAACGTTCCTAATGAGGGGTCCTTGGTGCTCTCTGAGCTTGGTTGTTTTTTGTATAGGTGTTTCATTACCTAAACTAGGTAACATCATCGGTTCTAGTCCTAAAAACAACCCAGCTCAGAGGGACGCCTCATTTCAACCCTCAGCTACAAATATTCTCCTTTATTAGAACACCTCTAATGAATTCCCTGGTGCATTTTAACCACTAATAAAATAACCACATCGCCCATTAATATGAGTGGATAGATTAAGGTAGTTAATTATAATAAAAGAAATAAAGTATATAGGAAATGTAACCTTAAACATAAGTTTGATTGGACCCATATGAAAAGCTTTTTCATATCCAAAGAAGCTAGCAGTATATGTAGATGAATCTTACCTGCATACAAAGCTATTATATCAAATAGAAGCCATATATATGTGTAACTTGATGTACTTTCGTATAACCAGATTATGCAGGATGAGGTAATAACTACTGAAATCTCACAAATGTAGCTGCAAAATCTTAGCAACAACTTTTGACATAGATATTAAATAAAGGATGTCAGTAGGACCTATAACAGACTTCATAATTTCAGTGATGTAAGCTTCATATACTAACACTGGCAGTAGGTTTTGGGGGGCAGGGGGAGACCTAAAATATCCCCAGATGTAGATATCTGTAGATATAGGATATGTTTCTTAATTCTTGTATACCAGTCTGTGATTATTCCATCTAGTCTAAGGGCTTTTACAGATGTCATCATATTAATAGAATATAGAGAGGGTACATATTGCTTATATAAGTTCCTTTGCTGAAGCACTTTGGGGATAATTTTTCTTATAGCAATAAGGTGCTGCTGTATTCTGGGAGCTCCAAGAATATCTCGGTGTTTTGGTTTTGTCTTTGAAGTTCCTTGGGACATACAGGTGCATGTACTGGAAACAAATGTTCATTCCTTCTTCTTCTTTTTTTTTTAAACAAGTTTTATTAACAAATGTTCATTCCTTCTGACCGTGGTTAGAAGAATTTCGGAGAGCTAGAGAATAATGAAATCTGCTGTGCTAGAAAAAGCACTTAAAATATTTATCACAACTAAGTAATTTTTAAAATTTGCAGTATCTCTTCATCTTTACAGTTTATGATTTCTGTTTCTCCCAATTTCCCAGCTGTTGAAAAGAATAGCATTTCTTCTATTTGTTTCTTATGACTTCTGATCCTAACATCCTGTCTAATTAAGTCTGTAGAGATGCGGGAGATGGCAAAAGATGTCTACTCAGATAGTGATCAGTATTTACCCATGGAGGGTCACGGAAGAGCTGCCTCCATGCCACGATTGCCTGCTGAAAACCAGGTGAGGGTTTTCTTTTTTAAATTTGTGCCCCATTTGAGCTTGAGAGCTATGATAACTTCTTCATTTAAGCATCCTCTTGTTTCTAAGATTGTCATTGTCTTTGAAAAGTATTCATTTACTTAAGAAGACAGCGATGCTAGGGCCTCTACTGATGCAAAATGAAAGAATGTCTCCCAACCTTCCTGTCCTGTTCTTCAGATAAGGACTGCACAGAGTCTTTCCAGGAATTATCATCATGCTGTGAACACTTTGCTCTTGCGTCAGAAATGAAATGAAAACACATTTCCAGCTATGGGCCAAACAAATGTTTCCCCAAAGACAATCAAGATCATTTGTTACTTATATACAGAAAGAGTAGGGTTACTTTTCAGTGTGATATTTCATTTAAATTACTCTTGAAAAAGAGATGTTGTCATAACATAAATTAAATTTTAAAATATATTTCTTCAGATTTTTTTATAATAATACATTTATCCATTTAGAAAGGGGTACGTGAAATACACTGCCCATTGCACTTCACAGCATCTATTATCCTTTAGGACTCTCCCATCCCACTTAGTCATGGGCACCATACTGACAAGGTTGAGGGGCAGGTATAGGTTGGTATTTTCCATCTGTGGCTGAAGTTGTCCATATATCAATACTTCTTCCTCTTGATTGTACCTCTTGGACTCTACCCTCTCATTTTGATCTCATTAAATTCATGGAAGATGCTCATTTCTCCTAAGCTAGGAGATTTGTGAGGCTGCTGCATAAATGTAAACTCTTCTAAAAGATATTATTACAAGTGTGCATTACATGCATCAGAAGTTAATTCTATCCTGGTGTATTTATTCACAGATGATGGAAAAACTAATATAACTCCTATTAATATTGCAAAGTCACCATTCTTTGCTACTACTGTCTGAAACTCTATAGTATTCCTCTCCCAATATACCAAGATTTCACCATAAGCAGGGAAGTTCTTGGATTCTTTTACAGCCTTCTATTCTTAAGCTGGTGATCAATGTAAAAGGACCAAGCAACCCAGAAGATCCAGTAGAGAGACAAATTCTCTGTCTTGGCAAACAGAAGGGCATGATGAGAGGTATAGATCTGCAGACACTTTGCCCTGCCTATACTCCAAACTATTGTTACCTGTTCAACTATCACTGGGATGCATTAACAGTCTGCAACCATTGAGAAATTGGTACACATTGCTTTCGATTTGCATCAATAACGAGTGCCCAATAATTGGTAACATTTACTCCAAACCACATATGTAAGTTCTCTAGTAACAAACTAAGCTCATATTGTAGCCAAGAATTAAAACAGTAAATGATGGGAGCAAGCTGTGTTTCTTAAGAAATATTTTTTTAAAAATTACTAACTTAACAAAATAAATAAACAAATCCTATTTCAAGAGATATGAGTGTGATCCAAGATTTAAAAAATGCCAAATTTCTTTTCTTAAGAAAAATAAAGGAGTTTGTTTGTTGTTTGTTTATTTATTTGACTTATCTCCTGCCTTCCATTCAGGAGCCAAGATAGCATTCACAGTACTCCTTTCTCCAGTACTTTCACAAGCACCCTTGTGGGCTGTCTTCTTTTACTTTTATGTAATGTCCAATGGAGCAATACCTGGGGACTGCAAATTGCGTTTCCCTGGGCTTATATATCTGCTCCATTGCTGTCCTATGATGGTTTCACCCAGGTTTAGCACCTCAGTAATAAATCATTTTTGTTGCCTTTGGCATCCTTGGTGGGATGCACAAATTCTACTCAATGGTATTGTGAGAAAACTAGAAATTTGTTTTATTCTATTGGTTTGTAGAGGGTTGTTTTGTTATGCTAGACATGTCCACTTTCTCTGCATCTTTAATGGTGAGTGGAGAAAAAAAGCTAAAGCTGTCAAAAAGCTATCAAGTTTAAGAAGCTACCTGGATATGGCCTGTCACAGCACAGCTCCTATCAGAGTAAAGGCTCTGACCTTCAGCAGCTATTGTTCAGCTAACAATGTTCTCTTCCTGATCTGGCATGCAGCATGTGTTATAGTAGCAAACTTTATAGGTTCTGATGCAATCTCAGCAATCAAGTGTTATGTTAGATTGAGGGTGGGGAGGGTGAAACAATGAGCTTGAGTATGGGGGCTCTTTTGCTAAGCATGTGCCAAGCAGCAGTCGCTCTTAGCATGCTCTGCTATGTAGAAGCATTTACTGTTATACCAACAGGCTAAGCAAGCATCTTTATGTTTCTGTGTATGTGTGCAAGTAAGAGCTTGGGCATACTGTTATTTGAAGAAATTACTCAAAGTAAGTGTACCATCTGCAACATTCTTGTGCAACTATACTTCTTGCTTCCTGCATCTTAATTTGCAACTAACTCAAAGAGTCAGAATTTGGTGAAAACTAAACTAAACTATGGCAACCTAACTACAGTGGCCTTGCCTTTATAGTACAGACATAATGATCATATTAACAGTCTTTCTCAACTTGAAAGATACCTTGGAATCTGGACTACAGTTCATTCAATCTCTAGTCATCATACAGTAGTCATTGATACTGGCTGAATATAATAGGAATCACTGCCCAATCCATCTGATACGTATCGAAGTGTTCACAGAATTCAGCAGCCTTCATAATGACAAAAGGAGTATCATTATGTTGCCATGCAATCTCCTCTCCTTAAATATGTGCTTGTGACATCACAACACCAATTGTAAAGGAAGGGGGTTTGTGTCACAATGGCATGCGTTTATTTCATTGTTTACCCACTCCTGCAGTTGCCTTTGGTTTGTATTAGACTGGTAAAGGTTCCCACCCTGATGATCTCTTGACAAAAGAAAGCTATCTTGAGCAAACTGCATTTTAATTTAGAATAGCATTTGGTTTTCAATATTCTCAGCAGAGGGTACCTCATCAATATGGTAATAATACCACATATTAAGAAAATATAGGAGAAATTCTTAACGCTTTGATTCAGTCCTGGTACTGGGTTAATAATGCCTGCAATGTAGTCTGATCCAACAGTAGTCTAACCAGCTCCTAGAGGAAAGTGTCACTTTCTACACAGCCTAATCATGGGGACTATGGTGCAAAACAATGGGTCCTGTTTGTAGGGAAGGCAGAAAATGGTACTGATTCTCCTTTTTACCCTTTTGCATGAGCTTTGCTTTAGATCACCAGATCTCGGAGACAGAGAGTATTAAGGGGACAGAAGATGAATCTGCTAAATGTTTCACAGTGACAGCTCAAAGTAAGGCTCAGCCAAGACATCTCAGACAGGTCGTAGTTTTTCTAAGCAAATGTAATACTCTGTGATAACTACCACACCACCACACTGCCTTTATTTGATCTTCCCAAGATTGGTAATTCTGTTTCCTTAATAACACATGCATGTACCTATTCTCCTTGCCCAATGCTGTCATTAGAATTCTTGATCATTTGGTGGGTGTTAACTTTTCTCTTACATCATGGCTTCAAGGAACTCCATGACAGCCTAGTTTTTTTCTCTGGCTGAAATGAGTCCTGGACATTGCTATAGAATTTTTGTTGTTGCTATTGTTCTTTGATTTTTTTTGGTAAGAATTAAAGGAAATTAAATAGTTAAATAGTTACTGCTGGTACAGTAAATAATGATCCAATATATAATTTAGGGTTGACTCATCGTGTAGTTCTGTTGACTTGACACTTAAACAATGCCCATACAAAAACTATCTTGAAAAGGCTGATGCTAATCAAATGAATACAATTTTAGATTCTATTATTATCTTATTTAAATCATTTACTTCAACCTTTACCCCAGGGAGTATCTTTAGTGATTGCATCTACAAATTCTCCTCAGAGAAAGACATGAATAGTTCTACATTATTTTTCTGTTCCAAATAGAGTAGCTTTTGAAATGTTTCATGGAAGACACTAATCACATTGCGTATACAGTTTGCAGCTGGACTTACTTCAGTGCTCTCAGAAACACAATCTGACAGACAAGGAGATATTTTCAAAATATTTCTTTCACTATTTCTACCTCAGAAAAATAGTAGAGACTGTAAAACTCAAGAAGTTCTTGCATATGTTCTTCATCACTTCATTTTTGTAAGACTTTGAAATAATTCAAACTATATTAGCAAGTTTTACAACTGAGATGTTTCTTTAAGAATTCTCCAGAGCCATGCAGATGATATAGGAAGTATAGACAAGATAGGTAGGTAGGTAGGTAGATGGATGGATAGATGGATAGATAGATAGAATGAGAATGAGAATTATAGCTACACCTGTAAGAGGCTACACTCTTTTAATAGTCTTAATTTGCTCTAAAGTATGATTTTGTCTTTGGCTTATTAGGATGATGCCATCTTAATACTTTATATGATAGGGGCAGGTTTCTTTAATTTTGAATTTTGTTGCTATAGACACCGTAAAGTTCAAAATGAACTTCAAGCCTTCTACTTTCAGTATAACAGTTTCCAGCTCAGGGAAGTTTAATTCATCTCCCTGAAATCTTCTAGATACCTCCTATTTTATTTCCCTAGATATGCAAATAAAGTACTCTGAAAAATCCACAGTGGAAATATTTGTGAGGGTACTACTACTGGTCATATTAATAACAGTGGCAGAAAAAATAGGGGTGATTAATTAAAATGCAGTTACCAATGAAGAAAATAAAAGCACATATTTGCTATTTTCTCAGTTTGTGATCATTTGGAAGAAGTCTCTTTCTTAACTTCCTATTTTATATCACCATCACTTCTTGCTTGTACAGTGAAAGACTTTTTTGATCAAAACAGCATGTTCAGCAATCACTAGATCAGTTGATCACAGTCTTTTTCTACCATGGCAAGTCTTTTTTTTTCAAATTATGCTATAATACCTAATAGTATTCAAATCTCCATCTATACACTTACCAATGTATACATGCAAGTGTGTATGTATCTTTATTTCTCCTTTTTGGAGGAGGGTTTATGCAGGTGCTACTATATATAACCTTTCAAAGGAAAATGGTTATTTATATTGTTCAGATAA